CACAATTCCTTCTCCTCTCCTCCAGCCCCAACCGTCGTAAGAACAGGCACACCAACCTGCTCGATCATAAAACTCGCACTTACACTCCCCCAATAACACGCCTCTACCACCTCCCTGCCCCTCGCAAGCGCAACTGCCATACCGCCCAGAAATCCGTTTCCACCTCCTGTAGGATCAATCACCCTCTCCGCTTCTTCTGCACTAAAATAAGCAGGCAGCCATCTGTCGATCCCTTCTTGAAAAATCACTTCTCCTTCATCGTCTTCGCGGATTAGATCACCGTCTTGATCTAGTAGACCCGCGAAGAGAGCTGTCATGTCCATGTCTAGCGTGAGACCTCCTCTAGCGTGGTTCGTGCGTCGTTTCTTGCTTGTGGTAGGTAAAGAATCAGGTTTTGGATTGGGTTTGGACTTGGTATTTGGTTTGAGGACAGTGCGACGACCTCCTCCGTTTTTGGCAACGTAACACCCGTCTGCGCCGCATCGGATGACGAGCGTGTAGGATTTTAAGGGCATGGATTCGAGGAGTTGGGAACAGGCGCGCTCGACCCATGGTTTAGAGATGGTGGATGAGGAGTTGGTTGGGTCGGGATGGGGGAGGACTTCGGAGCCAGTGTCGCCCACTAGGATACCTGAGGTTAGTGTTTTGGGAATTCAGAAAGATGAAGATCTGTGAGATGTGTCCTGTACAAAGCTCGAAGATAATGAGAGGCAAAAGAGGCGGGGATTAAAGAATGTGGAGGACTTTCTTGTACTTACTAAACCCTGCAAGTTCATGAGCGTTCGGCGACATAATATCGATATAAGGTAAGCAATTCGTGCAATTCAGCAACTCAGTTGGGAGGCACAGGTCTGGAACTGGCTCCCACACGAAGAGCGGCTTTTCTACGTCGCGACTGAGAGCTTTGCGAGCCCGCAGTATGGTCGTTACGAGCTCGATGCATCGTGTTGGTGAGCAGATCAGGTGGAAGGACTTTGAGAGGAGGAGAGCAGGTGGAAGGGCGTCGGTTGTTAGGCGTAACTTTGGGGTTGTGTATCTGAAAGCTCGGTTTTGAGATGTGTCGTAGCCATTCCAGCCTCGAGTTCTGATAACGCGTCAGTAAAGCTTGCCATTGAATGTTATGGGGCTGGGAAGAAGTAAGCGTGGAAAGGAGTTGTGAGCGATCAAATGATGTGGCAATCTTTGGCGTTTTCTGAAGCCGTTGCGATATTAATACGTAAACAAAGTGAAAAGCTGTGTAAGTGGATATACCCACGTTAATCGACCAGCATCTTCTCGTATCAGACACGATGTCTGCCAGGACTCAATCTGAGCTGTAATACTTGGCGGGAAATCGGAACCTTTATCAACAATCCACGATGTAGTCTTCGACAGAGGCGGAGGCGAGAATAGACGAGCTCCCAGAGCAGAGTATGAGCCTGCCCCTCCGAGGACGTCGAACACTGATGGTTTAGGTGGGAGATAGTGGATCTCATCTGGAGGTTTGTCTGTCAGACTTGAAGCGGATGGCTGGAAGGTGCATGATGACAGCCAAAGGAAAGCGAGATCATCGGCGTCGACTTGAGGAATAGAGAATGATCTGAGCCTGTGAACTTGCTATTATAGATATTGTGTCAAGTATAAGACTGATATAGCTTGGCATGCGACGGCTTCGACTCTAATTATGTGCTAGAAATATCCATCTGAAGAATAGAGCGATGTCTCCACTTCTTGCTCTTGGAAGGATGCGAAATAACAAGTGCGCGTAACTCTGCCCGAATGATAGAAATCAGACACAGCAGTGTGGTTCCAGACTACTGGTGGTGTACGAGATACTGAAATAAATGAAATTGTATGCGAGCATAATAGGAAATCCGACAGCATTGATTAGCATGCCATGCACCGACTGAAGGCTCCGTTGTCCATAGTAAAGTGAACAGTCGCAAGCAGTGGTGCGAAAGGAAACACGAAGTCATCTGACCTATAATGAACATTCCAAGAGTACAGAAATCGATCTCCTGAACAGGGGAGATCTGATCATTGTGGTCCATAGTCTTGGTGTTGAGTCTATCACGGCCGAGTAGATAGACGGCTTGTAGTTTTATTGAGTAAGTTCGTCTTGTCTCGCCTCAACATATATTGCAGTACAGTAGGTAGGTAGATAGGCTCGTAGGTACCCGAATCAAGACCCCGGGCCCGGGACTGACGAAGCCGTCGTGATCGGGATGCAGTTAAGTATATAAGTACTTATAATAGCCTTGCACGTGCCTGTCCTGTCCCGTCCCGTCCGTGTTGGTGGTGGTGGTGGTGGTGGTGCCAGGGGTCTGGGAATGGAAGGATCGCCGGACCTCGTCGCCGATGCATTGGGCCTTGCACAAGGCATCAGTCAATACTTATATTGTACAATACTAGGTACACCTAGCTATACTGTAAGTATAACAACATCACGGAGCTTCTACCTACCCACTGTGCGCCTCTTGCCTTTTTGTGATTTCATATTCTGTCCATCGCAACTGAAATCGCGAGCTCCAGCTCTAGCTTCAGCTTCTGCTTCAGTCTCTCAATCTCATCTCGTCTCATCTCGTCTCATCTCGTCTCCTCTCATTGCACAACAGGTCCCCGCCCGCGCGCATCGTTGATCATTCCGGAATTGAATCGAATCGAATCTGTCACTTGGAAACACACCTCAGTCAGTGAGTGGTCCCTGCAGCCAACCGACCACGATGGCCGCCAACAACATGCATAATCTGACTACTCTCATCAAACGGTATGGTGGTGCCTTCCTCTTCCCATCAATATCTCCCTTCCTCCATACCATCTGCCGCAACTCGTCGCAAACATGGCCGACTCACCCACCATCAATCGAATGGATCTAACAGCTATCGTGCGTAGGCTTGAAGCTGCCACCTCTAGATTAGAGGACATGGCATCTTCTTCCGTCGAACTGCCAACCATCAATGGAGCTCCCACACCTGCACCAACAGGTCCTCTACCTGCGCCGCCTGTCGCGAAAGCCCTTGAATCCAAGCCTGTTATAGAAGCTCTGCCCGAATCTGTCGAGGACTTCGATGCTTTCATTGCTATGACCGTCAAGAAGTTCGTGAATCTCAGTGATGAGTTAGGAGGTCCGGTTGCCGAGCAGGTAGGAGCATCTCTAGATTGATAGGGGTATGGGGGGTTGACAAGGGTATAGGCCTCCAGTGTCCTGCGCGCGTTTGCTGGACAGCGAAAGTTCATCCTCATTACGACGAAAGCGAAGAAGCCCGATATGAGCAGTCCCGTCTTTATGCAGCTCTTGAAGCCTCTCCAGGACTCGATTACCTCGGTCAGCGAGCTTCGAGATGCCAACCGTGGATCGCCTGTCTTCAACCAGCTCAGTGCTGTCTCCGAAAGTATTGGAGTACTTGCGTGGGTTACAATGGATACCAAACCACATAAACATGTTGAGGAGTCTTTGGGGTCCGCACAGTATTGGGGTAATAGAGTTCTGAAGGAGTACAAGGAGAGGTAAGAAAATTTCTAAAGCATGGAGGCCAAATGCTGATTTGATGTAGCGACCCAAAGCAGGTGGAATGGATGCAATCATATTACCAGGTATTCAAGGATCTATCGGAGTACATCAAGCAGACTTTCCCTCAAGGCATCCCATGGAACCCCAAAGGACTCTCTGCAGAGGAGGCAATCAAAGCTGTTGAGCAAAGCTCGCCGGTGCCTGCTGCTCCACAAACTACAGCAGGAGCCCCTCCACCACCTCCTCCGCCTGGACCTCCTCCACCACCTATAAATTTCGATGCTCCTCCACCTCCACCACCTGCTGCGGGAGGATCGGGAGGTGGCCTCGATGCAGTGTTCAGCGATTTGAATAAGGGATCAGACGTTACGAAGGGTCTACGAAAGGTCAACGCCGACCAAATGACACACAAGAATCCAGCGTTGCGAGCAGGTGCTACAGTACCACAGAGGAAAGATAGCGCATCCAGTATTTCCTCGAATCGTGGAAAGAGTCCTGCTCCTGGTAAGAAGCCTAAGCCGGAAAGCATGCGAACCAAGAAACCTCCTGTGAAGAGACTTGATGGTAACAAATGGATAATTGTGAGTTCAACTGACAAATAAGAGAAAAATCCAGTATTAATTATTGCCAGGAAAATTACGACAATGAGTCAACACCAGTCAAAATCGATGCATCCATGTCTCAATCAATCCTAATCAGTCGCTGCAACAAAACCACAATCATTGTCAAAGGCAAAGCAAACGCCATCTCAATTGACAATTCCCCTCGCCTATCTCTAGTCATAGAGTCCCTAGTATCCTCCATTGACGCAATCAAGTCCCCCAACTTCGCTCTCCAAGTCCTCGGCACCCTTCCAACAGTCATTATGGACTCCGTCGACGGTGCACAGATATATCTCGGTAAAGAGAGCATGCAGACAGAAGTCTTCACCAGCAAATGTTCTGGTATTAATCTTAACATTATTTCTGGCGGTGGTGATGAGGAGGAAGAGGATTATAAGGAAGTTCCCTTACCAGAACAGTTGCGTACTTATATTACAGAGGATGGGAAGATCCAGACAGAGATTGTGGAACATGCTGGTTGAAGGAGGAAGGAGGAAGGATTATGTGTCATGCTGATGTGTGCATTTGTAGCTTTAGAAAGAATCGTTGTAGAATATAGGATGTATTTATCAGCTTTAGGAGTTGAGCCCGAGGCTTGACCTTTTGGTTGTGCTTCCAGGCAATGCATATTATTTGTTAAGACCGATGATATCTGCAACCCTTTAATTATTGATATGCAAGGCAACAAAGCCGGGGCACTTCGAATCATCAAAGCTCGCTTAATGAGGTTCACAGAAAAAGAATGCCCCACGCATCCATCATTCACACTAATTTGTTTATGGCAAGAATCATCACAGGAGAGGCATAGCTAGCTCGGAGACAAGTATCCATTGAGTGATAATTCTCCACATGGTTGTTGAGAATATATTTTGTAATAAGCCGCCTTCGAGCCAACATCAGTCAAAACTGGTTGTATAGTGTAGCGGTTAGCACGTGAGATTCTGAAAACAGAGTCATGTTCTTGGAACGTTCTCGAGTGTAAGTCATCCATACATTCGCTACCCATATGACGATCAGTCTAATAATATAAACCCCAGCCCTGGTTCGAATCCTGGTACGACCTCTGATCGTAATATCCTTTTTTGTTTTCTCATGTTCTTGAGAGTGATGGGGAAGAATGCAAAAGAAGAGAAAGATTTATTTACATCTGTCTCTATGGAGACTTTTTGGGCTCGTCAAACTTCCTGAGGGCCAAAAGCGATCTAAGTAATACCATGTGCTTCAGTCAACTTTTGCAAAAATGTACTCGGCAAGCGAAGAAGCACCAATTAAACCAATTAACTGACACACCGCCTAGCGTCAAACGATATGATTCTATTTTATTTTGCTTCAACAGTCTCTCTCAGTGCCTAGGTCACTAGTTTCAAAAATGATCAACATCTAGAGCGAAAATGGTGCCCAAAAAAAAAGTGTTCGTTATGATCAAGGTTTTCCCTGATTCGCAGATGGTATGCGGCTTCTGTGGATCGAACACAGTGCCTCCAGATATCGATCACTTTACAAGGTGATGATGAGGATGAAGTGGACTTCAGTCTGGCGCTCTCCCAAGTGAGCTAAAGCCGCTTTTTGATGTGTTTGATGAAGGCCCCCAAGCCCTATTTGGTCTTATTGATGGGAGGAAAGTTGGAGATGGAGATGGTGGGGTGTGCTGTGGTGGGTCGGTCGAGAGAGAATGGATGGAAGGGAGGCGGGAGGGAGAGTGGAGTGGGTGCTGAACTGTTTGGGATACATGACTTCTCGTGCGGAGGAGAAATGGAAAAAAATTGGGCGTTGTGATTTGGTTGAGAAGTATGTATAGCTTGGTTGTTCTTGGGAAAGAAAGGGAATGATATGTATGCTGTTGGGTTTGGTTGTGCAAGTACCCATCGACCTACCTAGGTAGAGAAGTGGTCGAAGAAGCGGGAAGATCAGGTAGACTTTGTAATGCGGCACTGATGCAGCAATGGGAAATGCGTGAATTGTCACAACTGTATTGAGAAAGAGAATTAATTTCTGACGATCAAGGTAGATATCTGACAGCATGCACATGATCAGGGCAATGCCATTCGTTGGAAATTGTCACTTGGGAGGAAGTCATGAATGTTCCGCTGGGATTCGAAGCAGTCGTGCTAGATGTCATGGCTATCAGAAGAGAATCATGCGAGTAGGAAGCAGACAATGCGAGATCCTTGACCAATTTCCGCTTACAAAGACGAGGAGTTATTCCACTTCTGCCATGCTGTTCTCATTCCAGGCGGAGCCTATTTCCAGAAGAAAATGGTCCAGATCCGTCGCACTGACCTGACATCCGCTGCAAGCAGGTCGGTAGGTATTACAAGAATCGCAGAGACAATGATTCAGCATCACGCACTCAGCTCCCATTCTTACAACCTCAGAGCACTATGCCATTTAACCCAGTCAATTCAGTACTCCGTAGATATGTACAAGCACACTTCTATCCCAGCCCATCTATGCTCCTCCATTTGCCTTCTTCTCTGCTTCGTGTTCCTTAATCTGTTTGCTCCAGCTGTACTTCCGTTAGCAGAGGCTCTCAAGATAATCCAAGGACAAGAACGTACTACCGACTTGGAAAGAATCTCCCTTCCTCTGGGAATTTCGTCCGTACCTCCCTCTCAGCGCTCAACTTCCACATCATTGCCGTGAGACCAACGATAACCACGCCGAAGACTGCAGTGTTTGCTTTCCAGTTCGAAGGTTGCGAGTACCATCCACCTGCGGGAGACCACACATGCTTGGGGTAACTGTGAAGCTGATTAGGGATTGTGTCGAGGGGTGCGTTCTGCTTGCGATTGACTTACGGGATCTTGCCGCCGCCACCCTGGAAGCTGTTAGCAATTACCCCAATCGAATACAAGAGCTCCTAAACATACCATCTTGAGTAATTGCTTTGATTTATGGGTTTGAGGCTGTTGTGAGATGGCCGTTCCTGAAATCACCAAGCTCCGCTGCAGTAGCGCGATACTGCTTAACACGTGACGATATCATGATCGTGTGAGGCAGCTTGAAATTTTTGGACGATGTCGAGAAAAGTAACGCATATCCACAACCACCCACGCCGCTCGCATTTCCATTTCCTTTCTTCGACTCGTAGGGATAGAGCGTGAGGAGGAGTTGAGACTGGACCGATGAAGAGAATCAGGTTGGAACGCTTGGGAGGGCAATTGCTTTCGCCGCGCAAAAGCAGTTATACACGACAATGTTTTTTACGGTCTCAACCTTCCCCAAGCTGTTTAGCTAGCCCCAGGAATCACCAACAGATACGGTTACAGTCCTCGATCTCAACATCTCCATTGGATGAAACGTTGTACGAAGATGCAGAAGAAGGAGACGAAGCAGAGCCACCTTTCGCAACACAGAGACATCCTTCAAGCCCCTATCCCTCACCCCTCCCAGACGCCGCATTGCGCTCTGCAAAGCTAGCTGCATTACATGCTCGTCTCTCTCTTCCAAAGTCACTGCCGCTGCAGACAATGGCTCGTACACTGGTTGATGGATCTGCGGACTCGAATACCCATTTCAACAACGTCTCGCTAGCTCAGATTGGAGGCTCGTTGATATCTTTACACGTCTCGGAATATCTACTCTGTACATATCCACGTCTACCTATCTCCGTTCTATACGCAGCAGCATATGCATATAACGGGCCCAAAACACTACAAATGATCGGGCGGGAATGGGGTGTCGAGGCTGCTGCGGTACCGGGCTCAGAAGTCGATCCTGGATATCTGCAATTCCACAAAATGCAAGCTGGGGCACAGATCAAGGCAGGGGCGCAAGCTCAGAGTGTAAGAAAAGATATGCCGTTCTACAGGAGGGGATTGAGTAGTCGAGTGGTTTACGACGATGAGTTTGGAGACACGATTCAGAAAGGAGAAGAGGCAGGACCATTACCAGCTGAGACAGCATATTCGAACTTCGTAAAAGCGGTTGTCGGAGCTCTCTACCTCCATGCCGGACGCGAAGCTGCCAAAACGTTCATCAAATCACACATTCTGTCGCGCCACCTCGAGATCTCCACTTTATTCCAATTCAAAGAGCCATTGCGGGAGTTATCACGGTTATGTGCTAGAGAAGGCTTCGAGCATCCGATCGCGAGGATATTGAGTGAGACGGGAAGGCGGAGTAGGAGCCCGGTATTTGTGGTGGGCATTTACAGTGGTGAGGACCAGCTTGGGGAGGGCGCTGGAGCTAGTCTGCAGGAGGCGAGACTTAGAGCTAGTGTTGCGGCGCTGAAGGCTTGGTATCTTTATAGTCCGGGCCATAATGTGCCTGTTCCTAGTGACACGGAGGCGGCGAATGCAAAGCCTTGGGAGGCAGTGCATATTGATATTGGGGAAGTCATACACTAAAGAGGCGGAGGGATACAGATGGATGGTTGCATAGCGTGTATACCTTGTATGATGGGCCAGGAGGCACTTGCTCGCTCGATCAGAGGAGGGCTTGTAGGCAGTTCATCTGCCTTGTGTATTATTGGATCTCCTTGTGTCATATGCATCAAAGGAGCTGAAGTCATTGGGTTGGAGTAGATGTGCAAATACCTGTAGACTTTATGGACGGACCTGTATGCTTTGGTAGAATTCGATGGTACACTACCCACCTCTGACAAGGATGCTGAAATGCCACTGCAAGAAATCTGTGACTATCCTACATAATTTAAAATATCATGCTACAGCTAGCATACGGACGTCTTGACAGTGGGTGGTGTAAGGAAATTGCAACTTGGCAAGCTGATTACGAATATGTATATCGCAACTAACTTGCAAATCTCAACTCGTCTGATAAGCTAGGTGAAGTCTGAGGTACTGTGCGCAATCGAAATAGAAAGTCGGTTCTATGAAAGTGTATGCTATGAACTCCATGTGCATTTATATCCTAGCAACTCGCTGCTCTGGCCTTGCAAGCACAATACAATCCGCTGTTTGATCCTTCATCCGTCCATCATATGGAGCAGTGTGCAAGAAAGTGGTCCACTTGATCGAGCCAGAGTAAATAGGTACAAATGAAAAATGAAGTCAGATCCCGTAACGCCAACCATAAATCAATTCCATGGGCCCCGATTGATGCATGAAGATAAACTAGTTAAGCCTGTCAGACTTGGTCTGGCATTCAAGAGACTCGCCGTCCCTGGTAGATGTGCAGGCTTACCACAACTGAGGGTATCACGATTCGGACTTGGTGTCGACTTTCTTGGCTGCGTTTCCTTCAGATGTATCGTCCTCGCGCGCACGCTTGTTGCCGTTGGAAGATGGCTCGTCGGACTTGGTGTCGACTTTCTTGGCGGCGCTCTCTCCAGTACCGTTCTCATCCTCACGAGGGCGCTTCTGGTTGGGAGAGTCTTCTGACTTAACGGGGGCATCTTCAGATTTGACGTCCTTGCTCTCGGCCCTGGCAGAACGTTAGTATGGCTCTTTCGGCACATGTGATGTGGAAGCTACAAGGCAACTCACTTCTCCTTGTCTTCGCGCTCACGATTTCTGTCATTGCCTCCACGGTTATCACGTCGATCTCCACGGCCTCCGCGCTTGTTATCACGATCTCTGCCCCGACCTCTATTGTCTTTGCGGTTATCTCTGAATCCAGAAGCCCGATCTTCCTCACGACGCTTTTTCCAGTCATCTTGGTCGCGATCTCCACGGTTTTCACGTCTATCGTTTCCACGACGATCTCCACCACGACCCCGTCCACGACCTCCTCGGCCGCCTTTGAAGTTGCGTTGCTCTTTGGGCTCGATCTTGCCAGACTTGATTTCCTCTTCTTTCTCGTTCATGTAACTAGAGAAAGTCAATTAGCGCATGTTCGTGCAAAGCCAGTGTTTTGGGCAAAATCGGGTTTCGCTGGAAGAAAACTTTGGATGTATATGGACTTACTCTCTCTTGGACTTAATCAGAAGAGCGTTTCCTTTCCAAAGAGGCTTTGGATCCAATTTCAGGAACTTCTCGGCGGTCTCATCGTCCTGGAACTCAACAAACACAGATCCCTTGAAGAGCTTCTGATCGGTACGTCGTAGACGAACAGAATTGGTAGGGCCGTAAGGAGCGAAGAAAGCCTCAATATCGAATTGCG